AAGAATATTTTTTTAAAATCCATTTAAACTTGATCCTTAAATCTGCTGGAACAACTAGGGTAGCCACCTAAGAAGGCCTTGGCAGTTATAGGCAGCCTATAAATACACGCATTAATTAATTAATTAAAATCCATTAAAAATAATAAAAACTGGTGGCCCAGGATTGAGGGAAAGCCAGTGAAAACAGGTGGCGCTTTAGAGCTTCCTGAAGACATCAAAAGAGAGGATGGACAAACCCCAATTGCAAGTTTATTCCAGAGTATTGCGGCCACCGTCCTCCACACTCACCTTCCCAAGCGCCCTTGCTGCTAGGCAGGACAGAAGTAACTCCACATTTGTCCTCAAGGCGGGGGCGGCTCTGGCAACCCTTCAAGTCGCTTGGTCCCCAAACGTTTAAGGCTTAAGCTGCGAGAATGAGTGCTTCAAATTGCGCTTGGAAATATCCTGGCAACGGATACTGTGTGACTCCACCTGTCTCCATCACCGCTCTCCTATTTATTTATTAAAAAATTTGTAGGCCGTCCATTACTGTCGTCTCTGGATGGCTTACAACGTTATTTCACTATAAATGATGCTGCTAAATACATGTTCTTTCCTAAGACTGCAAAAGACTGGATATGTCCCTAATCCCTGGCTGGAACCGTGGGGGAAAAGAATCGGATTTTGCCAATCAGGCGTAAGTTTCACCTTGCCAAATACCAGAACTTGGTCCTGTTGGTCCAATGTAAGCAAATTTGGTTGTGATGGGCAGAGGGGAGGCAAAGCCCTGGATCTCATTTACAAAATGATTTAGTTTGGAAAATTCACACTTGGGCGGAGGGAAGATGCCTATTCACGGGTCAGAAGAATATGCATTTGGGTGCACACTTTTTAAAAATGCACTGCTAAAGGCGCTCTTTTCCTAATCAAAGAACAGTGTCGGAAAGGACTGCATTTGGGAAGGAAGTGGTGTACACCAAGGTGACATGTTCCTCAAGCTGCTCTCCCACCAACACAGCGCCTCGTCTCACTTCGTCCCGGCACCCCCCACGGCCACCGGCCCCCCATGCGGGGCGCCTCCTCCGAGGGCTTTGTCAGGGGCCTCCTGCAGAGGCGGAACTGGTCACGCCCCGGGACGGGGCTTGGTCGTTTCTCTTGCCAGCGCTGGCGCTTCCCCGGAGATGACAGCTGCCACGCAGGCCTCGCCTTTCCACGCTTAATTACCAGTGTCACTAATGGATCCGCTTGCTGGAACTAATGAGCTCCAGCAAGGAAGGCGAAGCGGCTGCGGGCCGGCTCCGTGGGGACTGCCCCTCGTCGGTAGCTCTGCGCCGTGGCTTCTCGTGGCGCTTCATTAAGCTTCCGCACGGATGTCTCCCCATCTTGGGATCGACGGCTCTGGGTGTTCTTCTTTCAAATGTCTTTCTCTGCCTCCTTCCTCTGGCACCCTAGAGCTGAGCTTTCCGGGCAGTTCACTCCGATGCAAAGCATCAAATGCCCTGTAAGAGCAACACAAAAGTTTAAAAACTTTAAATTTGGGAGCTGCACTGAGGCTTTGTTGCGATGGGGGCGGCATAGAAATGTTTTAAATAAATAAATGAAAAAACAGTGAAAAACGAAACAGACCCAGCCTGGTACCCTTTGCCCCAGACAGGGGTTTACTTTTTCCTGTGTCGAAGTTTCCACTCCTTTCCTATGTCGAAGCTCTTCAAACTTCTGATCCAACTCCAACCAAGTACCGTTGCCTGTGTTTTTTCCTGACGAATACCCACAACACAACACACACACACACACACACACCTGCCCCTTCCATAAGGTGCATGCTATGTGTGTTTTGCCTTGTAGGTTAGGCCTTTCCACTGCAGATGATCCGGAAGCTTATTGGTTCTAGACTAAGAATTGTGATGAGTGAATTCCTTGGGTTTCTTTCAGGATCTTGCTTTATGATTATAAATCTTACGTGTCTCTATTTTTTTGCAGGATGTTCTTCAAAGCCCTGTGAGGTCAGTCAGGCTGAGAATCGGTGGCCGGCTGACAGTGGGGACTAGAAACCAGATCTCCTGAGCCCCAGTACAGCCCTCTAACCACTAGGCCACCCTGTCTCTTCCTGGATGCCTGCAGTTGGTTTTCAGTTCCGAATGGAAGAAAACCGTCACGAGTCCTTCTGAGTCCCTGCACAAATGCCCTTTTGGCACTCAGCAAAATCCCTTCTTCATATGTCATTTTCCAGGCTTTGGGTTCTTTGACAGGTCGAATGCTTGCTACCTTTGAATTCTTCGCGCTGAGAGAGGAGGAGGTTGGCTGGGTGGAATATTTGAAGCTCTGGTTACCTTCACTTGGGGGTGTTCATTTTAGCCGCGCTGCGATTCGACCTCTTGCAATCCGCCGTTCCTCATCATCCCGGGCAGCTTCTGGTCAGTATGATTTTCGTGATTGTTCGATTGTCTCTCGTGATTTGTGTTTTTAAACTGCTTTCTCTTATTGGTCATTGCTCGGAGAACATTTGTTATGTTGCAACTAACGAAAGGAATCCAATCCATAGAGTAAGTGAACGGCGCACCATCCAGCTTGGCCCCGAGTTCAGGTCACTTCCCGCAACGTGTGTGGCTTCCCTGCCCCTCCGCCACCTCGCCCCCCCCCCCCGTTAATGGTATATAATGCAAGATCCAGACGCCAGAGGACACTTGGAGGCCCTGTGTCAGTAACAATGCTGAACATTAAATGCAATGTCTCTTTTCAGGTGGTAGCCCCCACAGGAGTGCAGAATATTGGCAGAATATTCTCAGGCACACACGGGTGTCTCTCGCGGCATCTTGGCAAGGGTGCCCTCCATCGCCTAATCAAGCACCTTGAGCTGCTGCCTTCCAAAGGTGCTGGACTGCAACTCCCATCCTCCCCAGCCCGCTGGCCGGGAATGACAAGAGGTGTGCTCCAGCACTAGGTTGTCCTGGAGTGGGGACGTCTGGATGAAGAGTCCCTGCCCTGCTTGGAGATGATGGGAGCTGCGGTCCCGCCAGGAGGTCAGGGCTGACCTCGTAGATGGCCCGACCTGGATGGAGTGGGGGTCCCAAGGTGGCGGTGAGAGGGGCAGTGCCAGCCCAGGTGGGTCCCAGGAGTGCCCCAAGCACGGAGGGCGATCGAGCCGGGGCAGGGGGTCCTGGTCCCTTCTGATCTTCCAGGCACTCTCGGGCCATCTCTCCTGAGGGCATCAGCCAGCCCCACAGGCCAGTGCCAGGCGCTGTACGCATCAGGCCAGGCTGCGGTGGGCTGGGAGAGGTGGCAGCACCCCATTCAAAGAGCATGATGCCTGAGCTGCGGCACGGCGTCAGGGTGGGCTGCCCAGGTTCTTCTCCCACCTTTCAGAGCCCCCAATACCATTCAGGTTTCCCCAGTCCCCAGCGCATGAGGCCCCCACGGCACTGTATCTGGACAGATGGGGCTGTCGGCTGTTGGCACCGGCTCTGACAGCAGCCCTCTGTCTCTTGCTATGGGGCAGAGCCCGTTTTGCACCCAGAGGGTCCAACTCTGTCACTTGGCATTTCCCGTGGGTTGGGGAAAACTCCAGCCTGAAGCCCCAGAAAGCAGCACCTGGGCCAGCTCAGTGAAAGACAGCCTCCAATGCCCTTTATTCCAAAATGAGACTCCAGAGTATTTAGGGAAAGGGCTGTAGCTCAGGGGCAGAGCGTGCAAAAGGCCCTACGCTTGCTCTCCAGCATCTCTAGGCCGAGCCATGAAAGATCGTTGGGATCTTTCTGGGGCAGCTGCTGCCACCAGTCAATGCTGGCGACGCTGGGATAGATGAACCCTCCACAGGACTCAGCAAAGGCAGCTTCCTGCTCTCTGTTTAAATCACTCCTTTATGCATGACAATGAGGACTAGAATCTTTATCTTTAGGGAAAAGGGCTTAACTCAGTGTTTCACACATAGAAGAACCTGGGTTTCTCCCCAGCGGCATCTCCAGACAGGGCTAGGAAAAAGGGAGCTCTGGAGAGCCACTTCTCCAGATGGACAGAGGGGCTGACCCCCCCCCCCCCCCGGGGCTCCTGATGTCCTGTGAGCCAATGTGTGTCACACATGGACCTTTTCCAGCAGGTTCCTCAGGTGGACGCCAAGCAGCAGAGTGGCAGCTTTTGCTCGCAGGTGTGGGGAGAAGTCCTCCGGTCAGGCTTTGGCACAGGTGCGCAAGGTCCGGCCCCTCTCCTCCTTCCAGCCCCAACCTCTCCCCTGCCGCAGGTGAGCTGCCAAGGACCCACAGAACCAGCCCGGAGCCACGGACAACTTCCAAGGCCGGAAACTGTTTCTAGGCACCCTTCCCCAGACAGGGATGGGGCGGGGGAGGGTGCTGCAGACCTGACAGGGGGACTCTGGGTCGGGGGAGGCTGGCTCTGGGCTTCGCACCTCCCAGGGCTGGTGACAGGTTGCTTTGCGTTTTGGGAGCAACCAGTACTGAATAGTTGATGGCTATTCAGCTCCGATCGATGGGTTAATTCGCCCCCGACAGGACAAACTCCTTCCCGTCTCTTTGTCGCCGGAGTCCCTCCCTTCCCCACCCACCCCACGCCGCCCCTCCGAGCTCCCCCTTCCCGCTTTCCCTGCGTCCCAGAATCCAGGGGGAACTGAAGGTCACCCCCCCCTCTCCCCGCCGCAGCCCCAGCCTCCCCATGGCAAGCCGTGCCCGCCGGCGCGCCCGTTCGGCGCTGGGCGGGGGCGCCCATTTGCCTGGCTGCCGGGCCACCGCTCCAGGCGCGGGCGGGGGGGGGGGCGGCGAGGCCCCGATCCTGCCTTTCAGGAGGCTGGGGGGGAGCAGGGCCCTGGAAGGCGGGCCTCGCTGGCTGCTGCCGGAGCGGGAGGAGGAGTCCGCGCAAGGGCGCACGGCGCAGATTGGAGTGAGCTGCTGCAAGGGGCGGGCCGGCCTGGACTAGGCGTTGAGTTACGAACCTTTTGGCTTCCGAGTGGCTTTGTTTGTAAGCTTTCCGCCTTTCTCTCCACCGCCCCCCCGCCCCGGCTCGGCCGTCAGAACTGAGTGGAAGGGATTTAATGCCCAAGTCCGTCGGAGGGGCGAGACCCTCGCTGCGCTCTGGGGCCGCTTCGTTCTTGTTGCTGCGATCGCTGCCCGGCTGTTTCCCTTTTCCCTTTTCTTTTTCCTGCCCCCTCCCCATTTCCTCCCCGCTGCCGCCGTCTCGGACGTCTCAGCCGTCTCTTCCCCGCAGAGGCGAGCAGAGCTCCTCGGAGCCAAGGTAAGACGGCGGCTCCTTTCCGGCGAGGCTCGCGGTCGGCGCTGCGGCTGCTCTCGTTTCAGCGGAGAGAGGAGGCGCAGCTTTACCCTGGAGAAGCGCTCCGCCGGGTAGCTCTTTTCGCTGTCGTGACTGCCGGAGGGGTGGGCTTCCTTTCCAGCTCCCCTCTTCCCAACTCAGCCCCTTGGCTGATTCCCCCCTCGCCCCTCGCGCGCCCCTCAAAAGACTCATTCCCCGTTTGCACGCGCGCATCTCCTCTCCAAACCTCGGGTCGCTTTAATCCACCTGGTTCCCGGCGATCGGAGTCACCCCGTCACTTTCAATCCCGAAGAGCTTGTCGATTTCACTCCCCACCTCACACACACACACACACCCCTGCCTTTTCTCGCAACCCCCCCCCCACGCGTATTGATAATTGCGTCCCCCAGTGACGGCCAGCGAAAAGCGCCAGTGGTCCGTTCACGCGTCGGAACCCGAAAAGGGCGAATTGACCAGAGTTAGAAAATCGGGCGATCTGGCAAGTTGCAGGAGTTTACACAGCAAGCTCCGTGACGTCGTGGCCCCTGCGCCCCGAAGCCCCCGCCTCCTCCCCGGGCCTCGTTGCTCCGTTTTGATCTCGGGTCCGGTGCGCGCGTTTTGTTGCGCTGGGCTTCGAACTTCTCCGGCGAGCAGGGCTGCCGAGGGCAGGAAGGGCAGCGGCGGCCGGAGACGCAGCCCAGCCCCGCGGCTTCGGGGGGCGAGCGCTGATTCTTACCGGGCTGTTTCTCAAAAGACATTAAGCCTCGCTCTCCCTCTCCCAGATAAGCGCCTTTTTAAGGGTGGGGGGGCGGGTGCGCCGCAGAAAGCGGAGAAAGCGTGTGTGTTTTGGACGCGGACGGCTTTCCGGCGGCTCGCGGGGACCCTGTGTGGCGGCGGGGGGGGGGGGGGGCGGCCGTGGCAGATCGACTTCCATCCTGTGGCCAAAGCGCGCACACACACACGTTTGTTTTGAAACAATTAAGTGCAGCCAAAACTCACAGCTGGAGCAGCGAGGCCGCGCTGTGCATTGGTTGAAAGGGGAAAGGGAGCGGGGGACGGCGGGGGGGGGGGGGGGGGGCCCCGGGGGCTGACCCGGGGACCCGGCCCGCCGGCCTCCCCGGGGGGGGGGGGGCACACCAGCCTTGTGCTATGGCGTTCCCCCCTTCTCTCCATCGCAGAGCTGTGGGGTGTTGGAAGAGTTATGCCCCCCCCTCCGGCTCTCTTGCAAAAAGGCCAGGGCTAGCGCGTCCTTCCCCTTTGTCCTCACAACAACCCTGTGAGGTAGGTGAGGGCGAGAGTTGGTGGCCGGCCCAGAGTCTCCTTGGGAGTTTCATGGGCAGGACTAGAACCCGGGCCCCTGTCCGGCGCTCAGGCTGCCGCCCGCCCTGTCGCTTTCCGCAGGGACTGTCGTGCGCAGGGTGGGTGCCAGGTGTGGGGCTGGCTGGTGCCCCTCTGGGTTCGGAAGGGGCAGCTCTGGGCTGCGAGGGGCAGGGAGAGTGGACTGAGGCGAGCCGCTAGGCAGGGGTGGCTGAGAGGCTGGACTCCCCCTCCGGGGGGGGAGCAAGCCCTGAGAACTCCGGGGGGCTTGTGACTGTGCGCTTGTGGGTGAGGACCCCACACACGAACTGCCTTTGCCACAAAGACACAAGCAGGCCAGCGTGGCACGCTTGCGGGAGACGGGAGGCCGGGCCACCGTGTTCGTGTGCGTGAGGCTATTTGTAAGGCTCCGACATTCTTGCTCCTTGGCTCCCCGAAACTTTCCTCTGGTGGAAGACTATTAAAACCCAATCATGAAACAAAATCCAGGGGATTGTGGAAGAAAGCTGCTGATGAGAAACTGCAAGGTTTCCTCTGTGAATTTTAAAGCATTGTTCCCCCACACCCCTCCCTTAATTAATAAATCACAGGGCACGTTTTATGAAAATACAACTCTTTCCTGCAAGCAGCATGCATGGAAAAACTGGCATGCACAACAGCCTGGAAAGTTTTTTTCCTTTGTTTTCCCTTCCCCTGGCCATTCACACAAGGCAAGCGCGCAACTGGAGCGCTCTCTCTCTCTCTCTCTCTCTCTCTCTCTCTCTCTCTCTCTCTCTCACACACACACACACACACACACACA